AGTTTCCAAAATCCTATCATTGGACTGGTATTTTCAACATTTAAAAATCTGTTAAGACTCTATCATCTTCCTGGTGTTTTCATTCATTAAAAATTACCTATATTGTGCTGATAAATTATCTATGATGCTAGCTCAAAAAATTCAAATGGAAAATTTCTTTCCTTGCTTTTACATAATGTTAACAAAAGTATAAAACTATACTAATGAACTTAAGTAATTATTAGGCACCAGTTATTTTGTCAATAAATGCCAAATAATTGGTTTGACTTTTATAACCAAACTTATTCTATGTTTAAAAAATGAGAACATATGCGTATCAATCAATGAATCACAAAATAATTTGTTCTCATTATCATAGTTGCACACTCTGAAATAGCACCTGCATTGATGCACAGCACAGTTCTGAACATCTGACCAAAAATCAATCCTCTGTAGTTGACAGAGTCTTGATATGGTCAAGGACAATCTTTTGATAATTCAAATGCAAAATGGTATAAAATGTCTTTTCAGCATTTTGTTATTATAAAAGAAACAGCTTACTATAATGCTTTCCTTCTCTGAAACTATACTATTGCATTATTCTAGAACATAGTTTTTTAATTTTAATACAACTTTTACTCTGCTTTATAATGCCAATTTAAATAACCTGAATTTTTCTTTCCTATTTCTGTAGCTTATCATTAGCCACTACAATTTTTCTCAAAATTATCATCAAGGAGTTCATATTTTATATCTTATTTCATAAGGATTTCCACTACAGCATACTTTATTTCAATATCAGAATAACATATATCCTGGAATATCCCATTTTCTTTAAGCCAGCAGTGCACAAGTTAATTCATAGCTGCACTTTTCAGTTTTATTTATATTTGACCTGTGGTAAAAAAATTTATCTTTCAATTACTGAACTATTTTTCTCAAGTGTCAAGAAGTCATACTAGTATAAAATAGATTAATGTAGCTATAAAAGTAGTTTTTGTTTAAGTTTGGAATTAAAAATAGAGCAGTAAGTTAAAAATGAGATTTAATCACTGGAACTACCAGATGGAATAGTAAAAGAAGATGGTTGAGTGGGGGACAGGCACTGGCGTGGAAAGGGAGAGAGGAGCAAGATTATAAATTTGATTTTGAGATCGGTAAAGCATCACATGACCATTTTTATTTTATTTTATTTTATTTTGTTTTATTATTGTATTGCATTCTGGCACAATAATAGTCAAAGGATCTGGACAACCAGAACATTGATTTGTTTTCCCTTAAAGACCTAAATTAGACTGTTTTTTAAAAGTCTTGGGTACACCAGGAAAAGTATTTAAAAGCCACGGGGTAGGGTGGGAACTAAGAGCATTCTTCAAACAAACACGACCTTTTCAGTTTCTTGTACAGCTCTCCTCAACCCAGCCAGAAAACCCAGACAAGTTTATTTACACACACACCCGCACACGCACGCACACACACACTCCACATGCAGCGAGAGTGGCGGAAACGCCCTCTTTCCATCCCTTCCAAACAATTATCTCTGACAGCAAAAGAAAATAATCAACAGCCCTGTGTGCTGGCGGCTGAGCCCGGGAGCCGGCGCGAAGAGGGAGGGCGAGCAGCGGGCGAGCTGGGAAACGTGGCTCCGCGGCCGCGGAGAGGATTTGTGAAGGGAGCGCGGGCCGCGTGCGCCTCTTGTTCCCCGTGTAATTTGCAGCCAATCATCAGTAGGTGTCCGCGTCTCTGCGTCCTCCTCACCTCCGCGCCGATGGCCCCCGCCCCTGCCCCCGCCTCCTCCCTCGCGCTCCCCTCCCCCAGTAGCCACACGCACACGCACACACACATACAAACAGAGAGAGAAGGGGGGGCAGGGTGAGAGAGAGAGGAGAGAGAGAGAGAGAGAAAGGAGAGACTCCCTGGCTCCCTCCCTCCCTCGCACACAGCGACTGGAGACGGACGGAGAGCAACGCGCTGGGAGAGGAGAGACCACCGAGAACAGCCCCGCGCTCTCACACATACACTCACACTCGGCTCTTTCCTCTCCCCCCACCTCCTCCTCCTTCCACCCCCACCACTAACACCATCTCCTCCTCCTTCTCTCTGCAACAAGAAAAAAAAAGCCATTTACAGGTATTTTTTTTTTGATCCGCATATTTATTTATCCCCCCTCCCCAACAGTTTGTTTACAAGTATTAAAGTTGTAATTGGGAGCTGCCAAGACACATCTGGGTTTGTGTTTCTTTGTGTTAGGGGTGATGTGCAACTAATTAAAGGCAGACTGGCAGCGTCTGCAAATTCTAAGGCTCCCCAAATAAAAAGAGACTGGTAAGTGATTGTTCTTTCTCTTTCTCTGGCTTTTTTCTCGTAAATGTTTGCTGTCCGTTGGGATTGTAAAGTAGATTATTAATGCTGGACTCCAGCAATAAAAGGTGTCGCTGTATTAATTTATTAATTAATCTGCACCCGCCCCTCCTCCTGAATGTTAAATATGACCTTTGATCTCTATGTCTCTGGTAGACCAGACATACAGTATTAGACATGTACAGTCACATTGTTTAAAGGCAAAACAGGATCATGAAGTGTGAATGTCTAATTTTGCTTTGGAATATGACTAGAGTTATCTGTGCGTTTTATTTTGCTTTTTAAAGAAAATCCAAACAATAGCTGTGGCTTAGGTACCTTTTTCATGCTCCAGAGATGCATTGATTAAACAATAATGACCTGGATCCTAGGCACAGTCATTTTCTACAGTTTCTGGTGGCATTAAACCTTGAGGGAGGGAGGGTGGGAGGGGGAGGTGATAGCAATTAAAAAAAAAGAAAGCAAGCAAGGGAAGCTTCTGTTTGGAAACACCACCCTAATAATACTCTGGGGGGAAAAAAGGATATTAAATTATTTCTTTATTTGGAACAAGGTCAAAAGATAAAATGCTGGAATTTTTCCCTCCACTCAATGTGGTGATATCTAATGCATGGTTGGCTTAACTAGTTTTTGCTAAGTAGCAGTTATTATGGTCTTGCAGTTATAACGTGATTCACAGAAACTGAAGCTATATGCATATTCTTGCTGTGTCTTTCCCCCACCTCCTTCCAAGCATCAAGAATATTTAGCCAGGAGCATTTTGGGGGCACCCTTTGTATTGCCATCAGAGCTCTGAAGGGAGCAGTTTTTCCTAATGTGAAACCACAGAGGTGGTTCCAGAGTGATTAGGGACTTGCTGTGATTGAAAGACGCCTGCTAGCTTCTAATCCAGCCTGGGGTGAGGTTCCTTATCTTGATTTACTTTGCCTAATAGGGATTTGTTTACATAAACCCCTCTTTTTAGGGCACCTCATCAGCAGGTCTTGAAGTTTTTGCACTTGGAGTTTGAGCATAAATGGTTCATTAATCTAATTATAAGCATAATTACTATAATTGATATCCATTTTGAACTGAATATTTGAGACTGAGACTACTGGGCCCCATTTAGAATTCCCTGAACTCCACATTCTAGACCAATATGTGGGCTTCAAAAGATGTCACAAAAAGATATTCTGGCCTAAAGAAAAAAAATCTGTAAACAAAGAAACTGTTTTTTTAGGTTAATGTACACTTTATGTCTTTGCTTTTCTTCTTAAAAGGCTGTGGTCTACCTCTCCTTCTGTAATAAACAACTAAAATACCTCTTCCTAAAGCATTATAATGGTCTGTAAGCAGAGATGAATGCAAATATCTAGTTAACATTAAACTTTCCTCTTAAAAGGAGCAAAAGAAAAACATCATTTTAATGGTTACTTCTTCAGGTAAACAACACCTTAAGAAAACCCCCTCCCCCACTCCATTTACTTAATGTAAAAACCAGTGACTATGAGAGATCCTAAAAAAAAAAAAAAAAAAAAAAAAAAGTCCCATGCTTTCTTCTTGTCTTGAGAAGAGACAGGAATCTCCATTAGGAATTATTGGGGATAGTCTTACAGAGGTTGCAGGCTCTTGGTTCAAAATCTGTGAAATTATTTGTTATTTAAGTTTTTTATCTAGTCCAGCTTTCTTTTTTTTTTATTCTTGTTTATTTTAAACAAGTAGAACACCACCCTCTTACCCCCACCAAGCCCCACCACCAAATGGCTTTTACAATTGAGACCTGTCCTTGGTCCTTTGAATTAAGACCCTAACAGAGCCAGCTGTGCTGGGATTCAAACTAATGACCGCAGACACAGAAGGACACTGTGGCAGCTGGTAGTTCTTTTTTTTTTTTTCTTCCCCCTGCCTCTTTAGTTCAGATTGTATGTGGGCAGTCTCTTAGCTCTCAGTTGTATTGTGTTTGCTTACAGTTTATACTCGGCTGTATTGTAGACTTTCTCTGTACTTCATTTGCTAATTTCCTGTTCATTTTCTTCATAGAGCCATTGCTGTTTTCTACTTTACAGCATTTGCATGCCCAGGCAGCACTTGTTCACACATTTCATAATGTTTAAATGCCCTCTGCTTATAGGTAGTATCGCCCTCCCACCCCTGATTTGCATGTCTTTAGCACTCCAATTGCCCTTTTCCCTCGGCATTTGTCACCCCCGTCTTTCCTTGGGTATCCTGGCTATTAATACATTTTCTCAGGAGGGTTATAAGAATAGGGGGGAGGAGCTGTGGTGTGCTGTAGGAAGGGAGGGAGCGGGGTTGGGAAGGTGGGAGGGGGGTCATGTCTTGATGATTGTTATGCAAACGACCTGACGAAGAATGTGGGGGCTTTCAGTGTCTGTGGCTTGGTAGTGAGAGAAGCTGTTTATTTATTTTTAATCTTTTCCCTCGTGCAGCTCGTTGGAATGACTTTCTTTATTTTAGTTGTAACAGTTGGAGGATAATGCAAAGGAAGACGCTGCCTGGGAATTCACCGTCTGTGGAAATGCGCCCCAGAGAGGAATAAAGCAGTCCTCACCTTGCTCTCCCCACCCGGACCCACTTTCCCTTCCCGCCTCGGCCCCCACCCCAGCACCACCATCACCCCCTTCCCTCCCCCCCATCTTTCCCCCTTTCCCACCCAGGTGTCGGACCAGGCGGTCCCCACTTCCACCCTGCACCCCTTCTTCCCCCCCTGCACCATGAACACCAATGTCTGCGTGGAGCCCGGGCCGAGCCCGGAGGCCCCGGGCTTGCCCAAGGAAAGCCACCTGCCCGAGGGGGCCCTGAACAGCCTTGTGGATTACAACTCGGAGATGGAGCGCTACCGCTCATTTGCCACCTCCTTCTACAAGACCAACGGGGGCGCCTTCCCGCAGGCAGCCAAGATCGCGCGCATCACCACCCCCATCTTCCCCAGCAGCGCCGCCGCCGCTGCGGCCGCCGCGCGCATCGGCATGTCCCCCTGGAACTGCGACAACGCGGCCACCGCCGCCGCCACCGCCATGCTCTGGGGCAGCGGCGGGGGCGGGGGCGGCGGCGGAGGTGGCGGCGGGGGCGGCGGCGGGGGAGGCGGGGGCAGCAGGAAATCCTCCTCCGCCGCCGCCTCCTCCTCCGCCTCCTCCTCGGCGATCCTCCCCGCCGGCGGTGGCGGCGGCGGTGGCGGCGGCGGCGGAGGAGGCGGCGGCGGTGGCGGCGGCGGTGGCGGCGGCGGCGGCGGCGGCAGCAGGACCAGCATGCACCACCGAAACGACTCCCAGAGGCTGGGGAAAGCTGGCTGCCCGCCAGAGCCGTCGTTGCAAATGGCAAATACTAATTTCCTCTCCACCTTATCCCCTGAACACTGCAGACCTTTGGCAGGGGAATGCATGAACAAGCTCAAATGCGGCGCTGCTGAAGCAGAGATAATGAATCTCCCTGAGCGCGTGGGGACTTTTTCCGCTATCCCGGCTTTAGGGGGCATCTCATTACCTCCAGGGGTCATCGTCATGACAGCCCTTCACTCCCCCGCAGCAGCCTCAGCAGCCGTCACAGACAGTGCGTTTCAAATTGCCAATCTGGCAGACTGCCCGCAGAATCATTCCTCCTCCTCCTCGTCCTCCTCAGGGGGAGCTGGCGGAGCCAACCCGGCCAAGAAGAAGAGGAAAAGGTGTGGGGTCTGCGTGCCCTGCAAAAGGCTCATCAACTGTGGCGTCTGCAGCAGTTGCAGGAACCGCAAAACGGGACACCAGATCTGCAAATTTAGAAAATGTGAAGAGCTAAAGAAAAAACCTGGCACTTCGCTAGAGGTCAGAGGAGATGATTTCTTGTTTCCCAGTCTACCCCCCTCCCTCCTTACTCCCCTCCCTTCTCCCCTGCAGGGCTTCTTGTCTGGCTTCAAGATGCAGTGCCCCTTTCCTGAAGCTTCATTCAGGTTGTAAGATACCGTTGTAGGAGGTGCGCGGAGGTCACGGCCTCTCCACCGCTCTCCACAGCTGCACTTCATGTGGAACCGCCCTCCAGATGGGGAGGGCGCACCTCCTTTTTATCTCTGGGGGACAACTCATGTAATTGGTTTGAAAAATCAGAAGTTTCACATTCAATATGGTCAAAAATTTCCCTTGGTGGTTGAAAATGCCCCCTCCGCCTTATGATTATTTTTAAAAAACATCTCTGCCCCAAAGATTGGACACCTCACATTTACATACTTTTATCGGCCAAGGGAAGCTTATTAGTGGCCCAGTTGTCACAGGGAGGACACAGTTTGTGGCACACAAGCCTATGTGCCCATTCAAAAACACACACAGGCACACCGTAATCGTTGAAGCGGAAATACAGGGATTCTAAAAGGGATTTTTCTACCCCTTTCTAGAATAGCTTTTCTGTTCATGACACAGTGTTTCTGTTTCCCATTTTATTTTCTGCATGTCTGGTATTTTTCTTTTTAAAGAAAGCAGAAATAGTATAGAAAGCTGAACACCACCTGTGATTTTTAAGGAGATGTAGAGTTAGAATAAAGGAATAGAATTAGTTCATTTAATGTAGGTGGTGGTGATTTAAGTATTGTTTTACATAGTTTCCGAAACAAATGACTCCTAAAACTCAGTAACCAAAAAATAGTGCTTTGGGGTCTGCATTGGACAAAGTAACCATTTTGTGGTCACAGATTGTTCTATACACTAAACACAATTTTGGTTTATGATCAATTATAGTTTCCTTTTCCTATAAGCCCTTAAAAGAGACAGTGTACCAATTATCACTAAAGTAATTGTTAAATTAGGCTTTTATTTCTGTTACATACAAAGATCGACGAATTTGGTGGAAATTTCATATGGTAATCTGATCAAAACAAAAAGGGAAAAAATGCAGGTAAATGGTTAGGGTGGTATTTTTAGCAAAGCAATATGGACAAGCAATTAGGTTCTTGATAAATTTCACAGAGTAGATGACTAGATGTTCTTATGTGCATGAGAACATAGGTGGTGGCTTTAGCATTGGGGAGTATTCTATGGGCTGGATTGTAGGGAGATAGTGGCTCTCACAAAGTATCATCAGAGGGGCACCTGTACATTCTTTTAAAAAATTGTGAGCACTGCTTAAAGGGGTTTTCTCCATGAAGGACTGGTCTTTAAAAGAATAAAAGAGGAGAGCTGGAGATCTTGCTTGCAGGTGTGAAAACAAATAAGATAGAGATTTTTCTTTAAAAAGCTTTATTAACACAAATTAAAGCAAAAAACTGCTTTGGGATTCCAAAAAAAATCAGTATATATTGATACCATTATTGATCATGATTGGTTTAATCAAAATATTGAATTTATTCCTCTTTATAAAAAAACTCATCTCTTTGTTGAAAATTGACTTTACCCTAGAGTGGCTTATTACATTTCCTTTGGCAACTCTGCTTAAGCAGAGATAATAGCAATTATAAAAATGTAGGTCCATGTATTTTCTTAGGCAGTGAAAATTAGTATTTATGTATTGATTTCTCTTCTTTTTGTAGATTAATTTATTGTAACTTCTCTAGGTCTCTAAGGCTCATGAGATATGAAAATTCAGTTCATTCTGAAATTTCCTATAAATACCCAGTTGATAAGTATTACATGGCTTTTATTTTTTTCTCTTGAACTATATATAGTAACTGGATTTGGTGTTGCTAATAGTCCTCATCTTTAGCTAGACCCCTGGCACTGGACCCAGTTTAGGGTGTGCAGTCAATAGGGCCATGAATAATTCTGGTGTATTTATTAAGTAACTACTCTGAAGAAACTTACTGTGAGTGGCAATAGCTTTTCTAGTACAGGTTTCTATGCTGATTTATCAGACTAAACAAATTTCATAAATTTCCTTTTTCTTCCTTTTGATAGTTTTCCCACGAACTTGTGGTGTTTATATTCCTTAGGCATTTTGATCACATATGATTCCACAGTATTGCTTTTTCATATTTTTAAAAATCCATTTGCTCCAAACTTACGTTGCCTTTCAAAAGGTGGGATACGAAAGGGAGGAACAAACTTTTCTCTTTGCAGAACTCTCTGAAGATGTTTTCCTAACTACATCCTCTTCCCACCAGATATTGGGTTATAGTTCAAGGCTAAGATCATTAGTGGATTGCTCTTTGCTTGGAAGAAAGCAGAAGTTGTGAGGTTGTGGTGTGTTTAATTGACTGAGATCTCTCTAGATCATTGATAAAAGGCAGTGGTGGCATGATTGCCTTAAGCACATGTATAACCACGCAGTGAGGGTTGTAGCCACATGTCAGAGGGACAGGGTTGACATGACTGAACCAAAGCTCAGACAGTGGTTGTGGGCTGGTGAAAGGCCCTCCTACTGCCCTGCTTCCCTCTCTAATTTGGTTCTTGTGATATCTCATTACCCGTGGATGCCGTAGTGACTGGACAGAGGCCTGAGCTGAGGATAGTGATTTGGGAATTTATCATGGCTATTACCTGTGGATTTCAGGGGTAAGTTCAGTAGCTAGTATTCTTTGGCTTTGAATTATAGATACCAACGGATATCTGCATCATAATCATTACTTATATTCTTATTTATCATTTCAAACCCCCTGTGCCCTTCTTGTCTTCACCTTATTCTCATTCCAGAGATTGGAGGTGTAATCAGATTTCCAGGGTGAGAAAGATGAAATTAAGATACGCTCACATGGTTGGGTTGGGATTCTTGACCCCATCTTTGAAAGCCTCCCATCCAGCATCCCTTCGAAAACTGCTTTACTTATTTACACACTTTCTACTTAGTCTCATGTTAAGAGCACCTTAATGCCTCAGAAATATGTCTATAAAATCACCCCTTAATATGTTCCATATGATAACAATGCACATAAAATGAACTTAGTTTTTGTATGATATTGTGCACTATATATTTGCATATAACACTGTTCATTTAGTCAGCATATTTAAAAACCACCCATCATTAATTATTCAAAGCAGTTAGTACAAATGCTGTATCCCACTTATGTGACCAAACTTAAAAACTTGTTTCCTGAATGATCCATATTCCCAGATAGCTTAAGAAACATGTGATTACATATTATGATAATAAGTTACGTAATAGCAGTTTGTCTCATACAAAGGTAATCTTCACTTTTCATATTCACAGCAGTTCTATTTCTGATATTCAGATCTAACTTTTTAAAATATCCCAGCCTGCTATGTATAGCTCAAGGGATAAAACTCTCCCGTGGGCAACCCCAGCCTCTTAGGCCCTGAACACTGTTCAGGTGACATGATTGATCTCTGTGGGACAGCATTAGAGACCACACAGATCTGGTTTCTCTCCCATTAGCTGATTTATGGAATTACATTAGTAAGCAGAGCCTCAGGAGATTTCCCTGCCCCCACCCTTGGCTCTCTGCTGTGAGTTACACACCGCCTGTACCCAGACTTTCCACATGTTGGTGGAAGGACTTGAAAGGGACATATTATAATGAAGAGACTGAGAAACTGTAAGGTCAGGAAAAAGGACAATTCCATTCTCTTTATTTTCTCTCTTTAAAATTTATATGCTGAATATAGAGGCCAACAATAAATTTCCGCAAGTTGCGTTGAACTTCTAAGGGGTTTGGTGGAAACGTCTAGATATTGACCCAAACTTGATAACTAAGAGGGTTTTAGGGGAGGAGGGACACATTTTATATATATGCTGTTAAGTTCTGAGAGCCCCAACCACATAAATGGCAATTGAAAAATTCTGAGAACAACATTGTCTACAGTTTGTGTGGGAAGATGGCACCTGCTTCCTGAAGAAATTTATTTGTAGATAATAGTAAAATAGGTGTGTCACTCAAACTCAGAATCTGTGTAGTTAAATAATAAAACCAGTCAATAATTGAACATGTCATAAGTTTTTGAAGTTAGGTGATTTAAAAAATTTTTATAGGTAAAATACAAACGTTTTATATTGTAAATTGAAATACTTACTAGTTTGCTATTTTACATCATCATTTAAAAAAATGAGTTTTCACTTTCAGTTTCAAGAATCAAAAACATGCCAGCATAAAAATTAAAGTTTGTGCTTAATGTCAGACACAAACATATAACAATGAAAGGGAGAGCAGAAAGTTTTTAATATATTCAAACAATAGTATATTAGCATTAGGATGTAATAAAGAAATGATGTAGGAAAAAGATACTGAATTTCATAAATGATAGGAAAACAGAAAATTTCATCTTCGACTAAAGTCAAAGAATAGACTGATCTGTAGCCCAGTTATCAGACTGTAATTCAAGTTCAATAAAATTTTCTTCCCATCACCAGATTTAATATAAGATAGTTGTTTTTAAAAGAACCATACATTTTTGATAATTCCTAAATGAAAATAATACCTTCCCCCATCCAAATGTCATGTAAAGTATCAACAATCTTTTGAATAGCCATTAGGAATAGTAAAATAAAGCAATTAAAGCCCATTTATAAATTATCCTGTAAGAATGGTTGTTTGCTATCCAGCCATCATCAAACAAAATACAATCAGAAAGTCGATCAGAACAAATAACACCAACGAACTGTATACTTTAATCAGATAAAAAAATATTTGGATATTTTATATAGGTATAGAAGTTGTATCTCATGATGAAGAAAATAAAAGTTACTTGATTTTTAAACCGTGTAACGAATTAATTACTGTATCGCTCCATATTTTGCTTAGCCTTAGCCAACTGTTTACCTGGGTAAATAGGTAGGAGTTTTGTATGGTCAGACTTACAGACTGATAAATACAGAACAATTTAATAAAAAGTCTGTAAACTAAAAATGGAAATGTGTGCAGAAAGAATGAGCATTTCATCCATATCTG